TGTTCAGGTTTTGAATTTCTTCCTGGTTCAATCTTGGATGGTTGTATTTGTATAAAAATGTGTCAATTTCTTCTAGATTTTCCAATTTAATGGCATATAGTTGCCCTTCATAGCCACTTATGATCCTTTGAATTTCTGCAGTATCAGTTGTAATGTCTACATTTTCATTTATAACTGTATTTATTGGATCTACTTTGTTTCTTAGTCTGATTAAAGCTTTGTACATTTTGTTTAACTTCATAAAAAACTTATTTAATTGTTCTTTTGTATTTTTTATTCATTCAAATTCATTTATTTCTGCTCTGTTCTCCATTATCTATTTTCTTCTACTAATTTTGGGTTTGGTTTACTCACGCTTTTTGATGTTTTATGATTTATTATTAGATTGTTTATTTGAAGTTTTCCCTCTTCTTTTGATGTAGCTTTCTTTAGTATAAACTTCTCTGTTAGTATTGCTTTTGCTTTATGCCATAGATTATTGAATGTTGTGCTTCCAACATCATTTGTTTTCATAAGTTATTCAATTTCCTTCTGAATTTCTTCATTCTTCATGTATCTTTGTACTTTCCAAAATTCCTCATTACAAATTTCTAGTTTTATAGCATTGTGGTCAGAGAAGATGCTTGATATTAATTTTTAAAATATTTTAAGACATGTTTTATAACATAGTAGATAATATATACTTGAGAATGATCCATGTGCCTTGGAAAAGAATGTGTATTCTGCAGCCAATAGATGAAACGTTTTATATATATCTACTAGATCCTTTTGATCTATAGTGCAGATTAAGTCTGAAGTTTCTTTGGTGATTTCTGTCTGAAACATTTGTCCAATGTGGTAAGTTGGGTGTTGAAGTCTTCAGTTATTATTGTATTGGGGCCTCTCTCTTCAGCCCTAATAATATTTCCATTATGTATCTGGGTGCTCCCATGTTGGGTGCATATATATTTAAAATTGTTATATCCTCTTGCTGAATTTACCCATTTATCATTATATATTTACTTTGTCTTTTCTTATACATTTTGTTTTGCAATCTCTTTCGTTTAATATAAGTATAGTGACTCCTGGTTTTATTGTTGTTTTGTTTTGTTTTGTTTTTTGTTGTTTGGGTTTTTTTTTAATTGGCATAGAATATCTTTTTCCACCCCTTATTTTCAGTCTATGTTAGTCTTTATAGATGAAGCATGAAGAAGCTGTACAGAAAGAAGCAAGCCTTTTGAAAGGTCAGAACACTCTGCAATGTTTTGGGAGAGAATAAGCTGAAGGCAGCTGTCCTCTCACCCTGAGGCAGAGGCCGAGAAGAGGTGCAAGGAAGTGCGGGGGAGTTTATCTAAAAAGGGTTGCTTACTTATGCTGTCCATAAACCGACCTTTTATTGTCTACACAGGAGACTGCTCCCTGTAAGGGGGAACAATAACGTTAATTACCCAGACTGTGTTGGCCCCTGGATTTCAGCATTATGTCTGTACTGATTAAATGCAAGCAGCTCCCCCTGATCGAGACTGTTCACTCTGTGGCAGTCCCCTAGCACTCTCACTGCATACCTGTGTCTGAGTATTACTTTCTTCCTTTGCTCAGCCAGGGTCTGTGGGACAGACTCAGCACTTTGAGTTTGAGTATTAAATGCCTTAAGATAGTCTTCTTTGGGGAAATCTGTTTGGAGTTCTATAACCTCCCTGTGGTTGAATATCGTTATTTTTCTGTATGTTTAGGAAGTTCCTTATTATTATCCCTTTGCATATACTATTCTACCCCCATCTTTCTCTACTTCCTTTTTAAGAACAATAATCCTTAGATTTTCATTTTGAGGCTATTTTCTAGATCCTGTAGGCATGCTTCTTTTTATTCTTTTTTCTCCTCTGCGTATCTTCAAATAGCTTGTCTTCGAGCTCATTATTTCTTCCGCTTGATCAACTCTGCTATTGAAAGACTCTGATGCATTCTTCAATATGCCTGCTGCAATTTTTGGCTCCAGAATTTTTGTTTGATTCTTTGTAATTATTTCAATCTGTTAGATTTATCTGATAGAATTCTGAATTTCAACTCTGTGTTTCCTTGATTTCTTTTTTTTTTTTAGTTTTCTCAACACAGCTATTTTGAATCTTCTTCTAAATGGTCATATATTTATGTTTCTCCACAATTGGTCTCTGGTGTCTTATTTAATTCATTTGATGAGGTCATGTTTTCCTGGATGGTGGTAATGCTAGTAGATGTTCTTCAGTGTCTGGGTATTAAAGACTTAGTTATTTGTTGTAGTCTTCACTATTTGGGTTTATTTGTATGATTCCTTCTTGGGGAGGCTTTCCAGATATTTGAAGGCCTTGAGTGTTGTGATCTAAACTGTATTTGCTTTAGAGGGACACAAGGCCAGTAATGTTGTGGTTCTTCCAGACCCCTAGAGGTACTGCCTGAATAATCTTGGACGAGATCTGGGAACATTATCTGTATCACCAGCAGATACTCTTGTTCTCTTCCCTTACTTTCTCCCAAACACAGTCTCACTCTATTTTCTGAGCCATATAAAGCTGAGAGAGGAGCGACATAAGCACTCCTGTGGCCACCAGCAGTATGACTGTGCTGAATTAGACCTCAGGCCACCACAGTACAGTCTCACCAAAGGCATGTTGTAACAACTCCCTGATTACTGCCCATGCTGGCTCAAGGTTCTGGTGCTTTACAATCAGCAGATGCCAAAACCAGTCAGGCCTGAACCCTTCCCTTCAGGAAAGCAAGGTCCCCCAGGCCCCAGGTGGGTCCAGACCTGCTATCCAGGAGTCAGAGGCTAAAGGTCAGAAACCTTTGAAGTCTACATAGTGTTCTACAGTGCTGTGACTGAGCTGTCACTCAGACCACAAGATGCAGTTCTTCCCAGTCTTCCTTCCCATTTCCAAAGGCAGAGGAGACTCACCCTGTAGCCACCACCACCCCAGACCACAAGGAATACTGCTTGACTACACTGATGTTCCCCTTAGACTGAGGTGCCCCTAAGTCAGTTTGTGGTGAATGCTGGCTGGCCTGCACTCATATTTCACGACAGTGGCCCACAGCAGGTCCAGAAATGCTATGTAAGAGTCAAGTCCTGGACTGGGGGACCCTAGGAGCCCACTTCATGCTTTACCCCCTGTGGCTGTGCCATTATTTGGACCCAGCAAGTCTCAGAGGCTTACCAAGATCCTTGATGTAGTAGCTTGGTATCACTGTGGATTATTCAGGACCTAAGGTCTCTTTAGTTAGCCACAGATGAATGCTGCCAGGACGGGGTACTTTCATGAAAGGCAGTGTATTCTCATCTGGCCTAGAGTTTGTCTATTATAGATAGGGTCATGGAACAGGGTCTTCACAACTCTGATAGTTGCCCTGTCTTTCTGAGACTGAGCTGGCATCCATGATTCAAGACAGTCCTCCCCACTCTTTCCTCTCCTCAATCAGAAGAAAGAGGTCTCTTTTGAAGCCACGGGCTGAGCAACCTGGGATTAAGGGAGGGGTGATGCCAGCACTCCTTGAGCCACCCCAGCTGGTATATCAGTCTTTCACATTCCTCCCCATCCCACAGTCTCTCTTCTTAGTTCAGCACTGGGACTCACTTAAGGGTTGCAGTCCTTATGGCCTACGCTTCCTTTCAGGTTTACTGGGAGACACAGAGCACTTTGGTCCTCAGTGATGAGGTTTGCAGGCACTGAAGTGTGTACCACTGGGATCAGTGACTTCTTTCTGGCCAGGGCTGGTTTAAATGGTCTCTCTGCCATTGGGTGTCAGCTGAATAGGTCTTGTTTTTCTTTCTGCTCTAACAGGTTAGGACTGAGTTCACTGCCTCACAATTGCTGTGTTTTCACTCCCCCAGTGCCCAGAGAAGCTCTCCGCAGCATGTCAATGCTAATAAATCAAAGTTACATTGAGTTGTATGAATACTTTAGAAATCAGACTCTTTACATAAATAACTTTAACAATGAAAAAAATTTAAAGGAGGGTTCTCTTTAATGCTGAGTAGAGAACAGCAATGTCATAACCTAATTTTATAATCTTCACTTATGTGAAATTGCCAATACTATCATTTCATCATTACTTCACTATCTGTTCCTTTCTCTCTTGTTTGTATTTGAAGTTTATATGAATAGGTGTGAAAAATAATATAATAATTAAAATCCATGAAGTATAGTGAAACATATAGTAATGTTTCATTGATTTCTAAGTAACTTGAATGCTTTCTGGTTAAAGGTCATCACAATACTGCAATTTATTTGCACTTCTGTACATTAGATTGTAAACTATATGAAAGCAGAACCTACACTTATGCTGCAGAAGGACAGTTTTAAAAGGTAAAGTGTTGAATGACAGGCAGACTCTTTGAATTTAAATTAGTTTGCTTTAGTTTCAATAAAACTTTACTTATAAAACAGGCTGGAGGCCAAATTTGCCCTATAAACTGTAGTTTGTTGACACCTGTCTAAGTAGAAAACACATTAAATTTGAAGTAAATCTTTTTTGCAAAACCCTTCCAACACTCATCACTCACCACAGTATTTTCTAAATATGCAATCACGTCTTTAATAAACTGAAAGTGCTGAGGTTTAAAGGCGAATGTACTGGTTTATAAATCTTTATTCCTGTTTTTAGAATGGCTATATTATTTGTCCTAGTAATTTTCTCATGGTCAGTGAATTTGCGAAGGCCAGATACTTACACAGCAGGGGTCAAAATTGCAATAACACATTTTAGAGATTCAATGTATAACAAAAGTCTAGTTAAGCAATGCTAATAATACCAGTAGCCTAAACGTTTGTGACTTAATAAAGAACATCTTTAAATATTTCCACATTGACATTCTCCCACCCCTGAAGCTGTTAGGCTAATATTGTGTTAGTTACCTTTTAAAACATTAAACTATTTATTTGTTTCCTAGAAGTTACTGGATAAATTGGAGGCTAATTTGAGATTTAATGATATTGAAAGTACTAAAATTGCATGGTAATGGAAGCCGTTACAAATTGAGATGCTGTTACCTTATCACCTTCAGTGAACGTGAAGCCATCCACAGCTCTTTTCCAAGTGATTTCTGGAATAGGCTCCCCTTCTGCATCACATATGAGTGTGACTTGACCATTCTCATATGTAGTTTCATTTTTAAGCTGTATTATGTGAGGCTGTACTGTAAAGAATATATATATTACTCAATAGGTATTAGAGAAAAATATTATTACTCAGACAAAAGTCATGATGGGTATTTAAGTCTACTTATAGTATAGTGTGCTATTATTAGCTCTCTAGTAATTACAGTGGCCTGTTTTGCTTTACAGACATGCCGGGACCATTGAATAGCATAGGAAAAAAAAATAGAAAATAATACTCATCTGTTATCATAATAAAAAGTAACTTGAGGTGGCTTAGAAACAACATTAAATTTATAATTTATTTCAAAATTTTGCCAATTTAAAAGCTACCTCATTATTTATTTTCCTCTCTTAAAGCCACAATATCATATGCATACACATATGAATATAATTATACACATACATGCACACACAATTGGTTTAATTCTCTCTTAAGTTTTAACAATTTCACCAAAGAAGTAAATGATAATATATACTGAAAATGTAGCAAGTAGAACTATATAAAATTCTGAAATATTTACTAAGTAAATATATTTACATGTTACTTATGTATGTGATTCTAATTGATTTCTTCTGACTTCAGTTTACTTAATAATATATTAGGCAATATAACCAATGTTTTAAATTATGACTTGTATAAAAATAAACACATTACATCCACTAATTTTAATTATCTTTATATTAAAATATGTCCCACTCTAAACTTATGTAGTTCCAGACAGCTTTATTTTTTGAAAGCTGAGTTATCTGCATTTCCTAAATTTTTGCTTGTTTCGATATAAAATGGATACAATCAAGTACATATTATTTCAGTGTGAGTTACTTTTTATATCTTTTAATACATTTAATCAAGAAACATGAGTAAGTTGTTCTTAAACTCAGAAAATAACATTCTTGGTATCAGAAACAGAGCATACAGAATTTTTGACAATTCACTGTTTATTTCATTAACTTTAATAGATTTATTTATATTCCCACAATATGCATACAATTTTGTGTCAAGAGCAACAAAAGTTTGTTCAATATTACTACACAAAAGTGATTACAACAATAACATAACATGTAAACTTTTATGTATTATTTTATATTTGAAAGGATGAAAATACCAGAAACTTGAAAAATCTTTATTTTCTTTTTCATTGCAATCCTTGTTGAAGAAGAAGAAGAAGAGGAAGAAGGAGGAGGAGGAGGAGGAAGAGGAGGAAAAGGAGGAGGAGGAGGCGGAGGAGGAGGAAGAAGAAGAAGAAGAAGAAGAAGAAGAAGAAGAAGAAGAAGAAGAAGAAGAAGAGGAAGAAGAAGAAGAAGAAGAAGAAATCACTGGGTGGCTCACGCCCATAATCCCAGCACTTTGGGAGGCTGAGGGGGGCAGATCACCTGAGGTCAGGAGTTCAAGACCAGCCTGACCAAAATAGAAAAACCCCATCCAACTAAAAATAAAAAATTAGACAGAAGTGGTGGCACATGCCTGCAATCCCAGCTACCTGGGAGGCTGAGGCAGGAGAATTGCTTGAACCCAGGAAGTGGAGGTTGTGGTGAGTCAAGATGAAGTCATTGCACTCCAGCCTGGGCGACAGGAGCAAGACTCCATCTCAAAAAAAAGAAAAAAAAAAAAAAAAAAGATGTAACTACTATTTCAGATGGTTGCATTGAGTCAGATTAAGATCATCTACGCTTTAGAATAATCTCACATAATACCATTTCTAATACGTTTATTTTTATACTGACTCATACTTATTTAATTTTGTAGGTTTTAAAGAAAACAATATTTTCAACACTGTTGGATAAGGTTGGAGACTTTCTACAATTTCTAAAAGTTTTAAGTATATTTACTCTTTCCTCCAAGTGAACAATGTTCTCATGCTTTTAGCTTGGCCTACTTCTAATCATTAAATTTTTATGTAAACATCACCTAAACATTATCTTTCCCAATGAAGGATAATGTTTGCACCGCCATTCTGTCCAAAATAATACTTCTCTTTATCCAATGCTATATGGTATAGCCAGTTTAACTCTCTATCTTTACTTTTAAAATTGATATTTTAAATTTTAATATATTTTGGTATAGTTGTTTATTCTCCATGTCTCTCCACTAGAGTATAAATATCTCTCTAGTTCAGAAAATGCTTCCACAGCAGTGACTACATGGCCAATTCTCAGAGGGTGTCCATGCACTATTCATCACATGGTCTTGGTAAGGGGACCTCTACACCTGTCACCTGCAAACACTGCTCCTTCTTACTCTCACGGATTTCTTCTTCCTTCCTTTTCACTGTTTTTGTTGTGAAAGCATTTCAATAACAATGTTTTTAAAGTTAGAGAAAACATATTAAATGTTAATAGGGCATGTAATTTTAGTGTTACATTTTTAAAGGGATAAGTTGAATTAGAAGCACCCACTGCCATCACTATTTTTCTTCTTTTAAGCATAATCGAAGCTACATCAATATATTTTTGTAAAGTACTAGTTTTCTACACTCTTTAAGTTACCTAAAGGAGTTAATATGACTCTTCGTAAAATGGAAGGTATTTATCTTATATTTTTATTTAGTTAAATGAAAGAATATTTAACTAGAGTTACATGCCAGTGCTTTTAAATTGTAGGCTTAAAAATGTGCCCTTTTGAAATATATTGTAGTTAAAACTGATCCTAACGTGTCATTCAGAGACTTACAAAGACCCATCCTTACAGAGACAGATGACACACCCTACTAGGTGTAATTTAAATGAATTTTTTCCTGCTTGTGTTATAAGCATATCAATGACTTACAAAAATTTGCAAGTGTAATTTTGTTATTTAAAATAATTCTGTCTGGTAGCTGAAATTTAGGAACATATTACAGAGAAAACTTTTACATGAAAAGTTTAAATAGTCCATATGCTTAGAGTAGAATTAGACTCCATCTTCTACTAGACACCATAGTTTTAAACACTATGCTATAATACTTACCAAAGACTTGGAGGAACGCTTGCTTTTCATCTTCTCCTGCCTTATTTGTGGCCCTGCAGACATAAGGACCACCATCACTATTCATTATGTTCCTGACAGTGAGTTCTGTATTGCTCCCTTTCAATATATACTTTTCATTTTCTTCAATGAGCTTGCCATTCCTAAAGAAGAAAAAAAGAAGTTCATTCTCACAAATCTGATTTTATAATTTAGGAGATTATAATTGACCTTTTAATATATAGGCATTAATGACTACATGGCTATCATCATTGACACACAGGGCTGTATTTCAATCAAAAGTATATGTTTAGTAGCCTTGGAACTTAATGAATAAACACTAACATTATAGTTGAACATTGTTTTGACTTCAGACACAATAATAACATTTGAGCTATGTGAACTTCTTGACAGTGGTCAGGCAAAAAAAAAAGCGTTATCAGTTCAATCTGTACTTTGATTATTGACAAAAAGCACTTTGTATGCTGTTTTAAATTCCATACCACAGTTAAATGTTGGTGAGACAATGCGTATTTTTATATATATTTATTTACTAGCTTCCTGGGAAACATTTAAAACAATTAATATAGAATATATCTTCAAAGAAGCTTCAAAGTAAATACAACGTAAATACATCATAAATGTATATTGCATATAGGTACTGCCAATAAAATAGTAAGATGAGAGAATTATGTGAAAACGCAATTATAGAAACTTGTGAATATGATAATTTTACTAATTAATGTGGAAAATAAATTGATTTTTTTCTTAGTCACAAATAATTGTAATATTTTAAAAGCTTTTTCTCTACTAAAATAAATCACATTCTGTTCAATTCTAGTCTATGTTGTCATTTAAAACAATGGCTTTCAAACATTTTTACTATAACCTGCAGTAAGAAATATTTTCAATATATTAAAATATGAAATATTTCTATGATTTCCCTCAGTATTTGTGAATCATTTTATATTGTGTATTCTCCTCACTTTCACTTTATTCACTTCTTTTTCTCTTTTTTCTTCTTTGCTTCTCCTCCTATATTTTTCTTATAATACTATTTTGGATGACTGAATTGGTTTTAAACCCCACTAATGAAAAGTTTTGGAATTTGTTCATTGGGGTAGAGTGATTTGCATGTCCCCACAAGTTTAAATATTTAAAAATCTCTATAAATATTATTAAAAATATTTTCTAAAATAAAATTGAACATTTCTCTGATACTCTAAACAGTTCCTTCTAGTTAACTTTGGTTCCAGAAAACACTAACTCATATACTAATATAATCTTTATATGTTTATGCTCAATAGAATTTGTGGTTGCAGTTTCTCATGACACTTCTAAATGTACCATGAAGTACACAAACATTTCTTAAGAGGAATGAAAGACTGCAAAGTTAGGAGTCATAAAATAACAACAAATGGGCCTGGTGTGGTGGCTTAAGCCTGTAACTCCATTACTTTGGGAGGCGGAGGTGAAAGAATCACTTAGAGACCAGCCTGGCCAACATGGTGAAACTACATCTCTATTAAAAACATAAAAATAAGCCCAGCATGGTGGCAGGTGCCTGTAATCCCAGCTACGTGGGAGGCTGAGGCAGAAGAATCTCTCAAACCCTGGAAGCGGAGGTTGCAGTGAGCTGTGATCACAACACTGTTCTCCAGCTTGGGCCACAGAGTGAGACTCTGTCAGAAATAAATCAAAATAAATAATAACAAATGCAACTATAGTATCTTTTATATATATTTATATTATTACTAATCCAATCTTTACAACAGTTATTAATATGATATTTCTGAGCTTTTGTCTAGAATATAATATGTAGATAGGGCTTTTACTACAATTAAGGATACAATATATTTCTCAATATTTTCATTGAAAAGTATTCATTTATTTTCTAATAATAATAACAATAGCACGGTAGAGGTGTCAGCACTCACAATTAGCCCATAGATGTGCATTTTCCCTCTGTGTATTCATTCAAACTCAGAGAACTACAGTATATGTAGTTCTCCATCCCTCAATTTACAAATAAAGAGACAGGCTCACACAATAATAAAAGTAGGAGGTTAATTAAGTTCCAGTCTTCTTTCTAATAAAGAGGGTTATCTCCCTACTTCATATAAAGTATTGTGCTAAATATTTGATGGAGAGTAAATTAGTTGCCACCCCCATCATGAGGGATCCAAAATCTGGTTGGCATTCATACAGGGTAATGCAGGTTCCATTAGTGAACTTAAAACATTTCTGAGGGGGAGGTGATCTGTTATAGTTGGAGAGATGACAAGGAAGATGGTAGTATTACTCTGGAAATGTTCACGGGAAAATTAAAATCTTTGACTTCTTTTTTTTTTACTTCACCTTTGAAGTAGATGTGTAAAACTTGAAGATATTTGGAGGACATAGCTGTGTACAGATGATATTTGGTTTAAATGCTCAATATAAGCTATAATTAAAGCATCAAAATAAGGGAATATACTAATACTTCATTATTCCTTCCCAATAAATACCTTATCCCTTCCTCCCAATAAATTCCTATGACTTCTATTGCTGTTCGCAGTCTATGTCTGTGAAATGTGAATGTCTAAAAAACACTCCCAAGAGATTCGAATACATGAATTAAGTCCATTCTTTGAAACTCAAACCACTCTTCTAAGTGTCCCCCTTTTTAGGTACTGGCCATACATATAAAACAACAGTTTTCAAAATTAACCAACTGGTAGCATATGACAGTGGCATGTGAGTACCTCCATTGCTGACTGCCTGAAGAGAGTTTTTAGGCTTCAGCCGTGGGAGGGAGAACACAGAGTCAGGCAGTATATCTGGGGTGGAAGACAGTGTGCAGTTGGGGAAGGTCAAAGTGACTAGAATGTGCAGGTCAGAAAATGTGAGAAAAGAGCTGCACAAGCAACAGTGCTACATGCAAATATCTGCAGGAGTTCACAAGAAATGTTTAACTGAGTATTGATCAATGAGTGTGTACAGTAAGGCTTTCCAGATAAGAAAGGAACCATTAGAAAATATAAAGTACAGTAATCTCAGAAGCTTATACAGCAACAGGAATAATCTGCATCTCAACTATCCAGAATAAAAAGCTCTCCTAAAACACAGGACTTAAGTCATGTCCTTAGAAGAATATTGCATCAGTAACGGGGCCAGAGTAACTCCAGACAGAAGGTAGTATGGATCCACCTAAAAGAGCCTAAAGGTAAGCTCCACCTCAAATCAAACTTTTTCCAGGTCATGTAACTGCATCTATAAAACAAAGTAAAAAAACACAAAAATATTCAGCAAACCAAAACACAAAACTCTGAATGTCTGGAACCCAAATAAAACTTCCCAGGATATGGCTGAATGTGGTGGTTCACACTTGTAATCCCAGCACTTTGGGAGGCGGAGGCAGTCCAGTCACCTGAGGTCAGGAGTTTGAGACCAGCCTGGCCAACATGGCAAAACCCCGTCTCTACTAAAAATACAAAAATTAGCTGTATGGTCGAATGTGCCTGTAGTCCCAGCTATTCGAAGGCTGAGGCAGAAGAATTGCTTGAATGGGGAAGGTGGAGGTTGCAATGGGCCAGGATCACACCACTGCACTCCATCCTGGGTGACAGAGTGAGACTGTCTCAAAAAAAAAAAATCAGAATAATAAATAAACATAAAAATATGACCTGTAGGAAGGAGAAAAATCTCCAGGCACAGTGGCTGATGTCTGTAACCCCAGTAATTTGGGAGGCTGAGGCGAGTGCATGAAGCCAGGAGTTGAAGATCAATCCTAGAAACATAGTGAAATCACTTCTCTACATAGTAATAAAAAATCAACTGGGCATGGTGGCACATGTCTATAGTCTCAGCTACTGAGGAGGCTGAATCAGGAAGGTCATCACTGCAGCCCGAGAGTTGGAGGTTGCAGAGAGTGCCATTGCACTCCTGCCTGGGTGGCAGAGAAAAAAACCTGTCTCCAAAAAATAAAGAAAAAAAGGAGAAAAATCAATCAATTACATAATATAGATATGATTCAGATGATAGGTGAGTAGATGCCTATTAAAACAATGATCAGAACTTTATTCCAATATGTTCAAGGAAGCAAAACATGAGAATGATAAGAGTGGCACGGAGGACATACAAAACACCTTTTTGAAATTCTCAGTGAAAAAAATAAAATGATCAGATATACTCTGGTGGGATTAAAAACATTAGATATTACAGTAGAAAAGATGAGTAAACTTGAAGACACAGCAACATAACTTAGTTAACTGGAAGACACAGCAAAATAAAAAAAAAAAAAAACAGAAAAAAGACTGAAACAAAGTTCTATATGGTATCATTTGTTTTCAACCTTAAAGTCCTTAATAATACTGATCTACATGAATAAATGCTTAAATATGTAATACTAGAGCTTCAAAAACATGAAGCAAAACAGAACTGAATATAAAAATAGACACATTTAAAAATAAAGTTGGAGAAGAATTCTTAGAAAAGAATTGGAAGACTTCAGCAATACTATCAAGGCAATTAATCTACTTAAAATCAGGGATTTCTCCACACAATAGTGGAAGATACGTAATATAATGTAAGACTCAATAAAGTTAAATAAATTGAAACCACTAAAAAGTCTACTTCCTGATAAGTATGAAATTTCCTTAAAAATCAACAGCAGATAATGTATAAAAAATATACCCAAATACTTAGAAACAAATCAAGATACTTCTAAATGAATACTATAAAAAATAACATGAGAATTTTAAAAAATATTTAACCCCAAAATGAAAATATGGCATAGTAAAATTAGCAGGGTACAATTATATCCATAGTTAGAGAGGAAAATCAGATGTTTATGTTAGAAATAATACATGATTAGAATCAATGACATGATTCCACCTTAAGCAAACAAAAATGGAAGAGAAAATTTAAGACAAAGTAAACAGAAGGAAAATAATAATAAAAATAAAAACAGAAATTAATGAAATAGAGAACAGAAAAGAAAAAAAAAGAAAATAATCGAAGCCAAAAGCTGATTCACTTAAATAATTATGTGCACAGATCTACATCTAGAATAATCAGGATAAAAAAGAGAGTGGAAAAAAAAAAAAAAAAAAACAGACTGTGGAACAAATAACCAGTTATGAGGTTAACAGGATAAGAGAGGCAAGAATACTACAGAAAACAT